CTCCACACAGACACCAACAAGGATCTTCACCCCTGATTACCTTGGGGTAATTTGTCAATCAAAAGATGGTGTTAAAGTTGCCCAGAATAAACCAACAAACTATGTATAGGGGAGAGTAAAAAATTACATTTTCAAATGCCAGCATGCTATCACTAATATAGTCTCCAATGTAACGAACATAGTTTAGGCAGCATTAAAATGAATCTCTGGAAACACGAAAAATATGATAAAAGAGATAGCACAGCATTCAATTTCATGCACACTGTCACATAAATTATTTGCAGCTCGCGTATGTTATGCTCTTTTAAATTTCCCTCTGGGTACAGTTTTAATGGCATCCTACAAGTTTCAATATGCCATATTTTCATTGTCATTTACTTCAAAATACTTTCTGACTTCCATGAGATTTCTTCTTTGATACATGGGACACTTAGGAATTAGAACCATGTTGCTTGATTTCCAAACATTTGGAGATTTCCTTGTTTTCTTTTTACTCTTGATTTCTTGTTTAATTTCCCTTTGGACAGAAAACATTCTGAATAATTTCAGTTCTTTGAACTTTTTGGAGACTGGCTTTAGGAGCCAGGAAATGATCAATTTTGGTAAGTGTTCTATGTGCACTTGGAAAGGGTGTGTATTCTATGATTGTTGGGTAAAGAGATCTACATGTGTCAGTGAGGCCAGGTTTGTTCATTGCATTGCTCATATCTTCTATACGCTTATTGATCTTTTGTTTTATCAGTTTCTGAGAGAGGTGTTTTAAAATCTCCAATTCTGATTATGAATTTGCTATTTCTCCTTTTGGGTCTGTTAGCCTTTGCTTTATATGTATTTTCAAGTTATTCTTATTGCATACTAATTTAGAATTTTGTTATGTCTTCCTAGTGAATGGCCCCTTTCATTATGAAAACTCCCTCTTTCTCTCCAGCAAAGCTTCTTGACTTAAAGTTTATTTTAGCTGATGTTAAAATAGCCATGACAGGATTTCTTGATTCGTATTTGCATGCTGTATCCTTTTACATTTTTTAGTTTTGCCTTTGCTGTGTCTTTATGCTTGCAAGCAGCATTTAGTTAAGGTTTGGTTATAACTTGAAGATTACTCTCTTGTATGGAAGACTTTCTATTTGTCTTTGTATTTCAGCAGTTTTACTGTGATGTTCCTAGTGTGGTTTTTCTTTGTGATTATCTGCTTGAGGCTTGTAGTCTTCTTGAATCTGTGGCTTGATTTATTATATCCATTTTTTAAATTCTCATTTATTTATCTCTTCAAATATTGCTTCAGCATCATTCTTTATCTCCTTGTTTTTGGAACTCCAATTATACCTAAGTTAGAATTTTTCATCATGTCTTATGCTCTTATCTGTACTTCCCATTTTTTTCTCTCTTGTGCATCAGTAAGTATATTTTTCTCTCGACCTATCTACCAAATCATTAATTTTCTCTTCATCTGTGCATAATCTACTGATAAATTGGTCTATTTAGTTGTTAATTTTGGATAATACACTTTTCAATTCTAGAATTTTAAACTTACTTTCTTGTATATATTCTGGTCCTCTGGTAGAATTCTCCACCTTTTTATCTGTTTTCTTGAGCATATTTCATTATTATCTTAAAGTCCATGCTTGATTGGTCCAATATCTAAATCCCATAAATCGATTACTACATTGCTATATTCTATCTTTTTCTTTTGGTCCTGTCTCTTAATATGCCTGGCAAGTTTTCAATGAAAAGTGAACATTAGAATAAAAAATCTGTAAACTACCTAGCTGAGCCTTCAACTTCTAGGAGGTAACAGAGTAGGGGCAGATGAACTTAATCCAAACAGGAACTGAGCTATTTTGAGGCTGGCTTTCAATCTTTGTAAGGCCTGATCTAGTTCTAACTTGTTCTTGCTCCTAGTATGTAATCCTTTAGGGGTCAAACTGAAAGCCTGGGTGTTTACCAGGAACCCTCCTCCTAGGAAGACCCAGAACTCCAGCGCCTAACTCCCAACACTGTGAGCCTGCCAAAAGCTCTGTTTGGCTCTACCACATTTTGGCCATGGCTTTTGCTCAGTTTCTCTTGACCTGTGTCACTTAGGAATTAGCGAAAACCTTGAGGGAATAAGCAGCTAGAGCTACCAGGCTCATTTCTCTGTGGCCCCTCCGGTCTGGGCCCCTCAAGTCCTGAATGTCTTTGTGGCACTGATCCAATTTTTGTCTTCTCTGATTGCTGAGAGTTCTGCTCACATTCTTTGCGTAGCAGACCATTTTTGCTCAGTTTCTCAATCTCGTTACCCATGCCACTTTAAACGCACTTGAGTTAAAAAGCAGCATTGATTGTCAGACTCACTTTAATGAGTTCTTCTTCCCTCCAGAATCATGGCTTCTAAAGTTCAGGCTATCTTGGTAGCTCTCCAAACAGATGTGATTTTCTTAATCCTCCTTTTCCGGCTTTTCTCAGTGAGAGGTCAGCTCTGCTACAAGAAAGCTTACAATCCCAGGGCCTTTTCGGCTGCTGGGCCTTTTCATATGCTGTTTCTTTGTCCCTCTTCCTTCAAGACTCAAATAAATTATCACCTCCCCTTGAAATCTTCCCTGCGGCCCCTTCTGGTCCCCTCCATCCAAGTGGCATTAGTTAAGAGCTTCCTCCTCTTGGCTCCCAGTGTCTTAGCCATATCCACGCTGCTTGGAATGATTTGTCAATGAAGAATTCCACACCAGCAATTCACAATATTCTACAAACAGGAATATTATATTTGGCCCATGCTGTATGTATAAATGTTAAATTCATTGATAACAGCTAGGAATCAGGACACAAATCATCTGTGAATAGTAGCATCTCTTGAAAAATCTGAAGATGTGGACTCACCAGGCTTAAATTCTACATGACAACAACTGGCTGCATAACAGCTATTTCCCTTTCATGGGGCAATGACTCGCCAGTTCTCAGTCCCCACCACTCTCTACGGTTGTACACACATCATCCAACTCATCTAAATTACCTACCAACTAATATTGGCATTTGTGTTTGTAATTCTTGGCCTATGTGTGTGCCCTACCCATCAGTCTAAGAACTCCATATGAACAGACATTATATCTTTTCATCTCTCTCCCAATACCTGTCACATTCCTGGCATGCCAGAGAAGTTCAGTCCATAGTTTTAGACATATCTCTGCAAGAATGCTACCCTAGCATTCTTAGAGCAGTAAAACTATTCTGTAGGATACTATAATGGTGGATACATGGCATTATACATTTGTCAAAACCTATAGAACTATACCACACAAAGAGTGAACTCAAATGTAAACTATGGGCTTTAATTAAAAATAATATATCGGGGCTTCCCTGGTGGCGCAGTGGTTGAGAGTCCGCCTGCCGATGGCAGGGGTCACGGGTTCGTGCCCTGGTCTGGGAAGATCCCACATGCCGTGGAGCGGCTGGGCCCGTGAGCCATGGCCGCTGAGCCTGCGTGTCCGGAGCCTGTGCTCCGCAACGGGAGAGGCCACAACAGTGAGAGGCCCCCGTACCGCAAAAAAAAAAAAAATATCAATCCTGGTTTTTCAGTTGTAACAAATATACCACACCAATGCAAGATGTTAAAATAGGGGACACTGTGAGGGTGGGGTACGTAAGAACTCTCTATTTTCTGTGCAATTTTTCTATAAACTTAAAACCGTTCTAAAAATAACCTCTACCAGTAGGGCTTCCCTGGTGGTGCAGTGGTTGAGAGTCCGCCTGCCGATGCAGGGGACACGGGTTCGTGCCCCGGTCGGGGAAGATCCCACATGCCGCGGAGCGGCTGGGCCCGTGAGCCACGGCCGCTGAGCCAGCGCGTCCGGAGCCTGTGCTCCGCAACGGGAGAGGCCGCGACAGTGAGAGGCCCGCGTACCGCAAAAAAAATAAATAAATAAAATAACCTCTACTAGAAAAACAAATAAATACAAATGCTACCTATCAGAGTGATAAAAGGGGGCAACTAAATCCAGCAAAATAAGTTTCTCGCATGGGATTCAGGTCAGGAGACAAGAGCAGAAATACTTACCAAAGGACACCCACCTATACCACCACTTTTAGGGGCAGCAGGAAAATAAGCCTTTCCTGCCTGGGGCTGTGGGTAAGGAGTGACTAAGACACACTTAAAGTGGTGGCTGGTCTGCCATATGCACTCTTGGTCAGGGATACTGGAAAGACAGGAGGAAGTTCACATAATAGCCTACAGAGGAATCTAGGCTGACCCCCAAATGGGTCCAAAAAGGCCAGCAGGAGAGCAGCAAATAGAGCCTGTTTCCCACTCTCTGGGACCTGGATCCACCCTACTCCACCGTGCAGTGGAGGATTTTCCAGGTCTGATGTTTTTTCTTATGTTTTACATTCTGTGTCATAGGGGATTTTGCCTTCAACCGCCCTGCCCACTCATCCGAATGTGCTAATTCATTTCTTCGGTAGCCCTTTTTCCTCTTCTGCGTCTGTGTTACTTATCAAGCTTGAGAAGGAAAGAGAGAAGCAAAGACTTGTAGATTGTAAGCTCCACGAGAGCAGGGAACAGAGTTGTTTCATTCACTGAGATGCACATAGTAGGTACTTCATTGATAGTTGTTGAGTGAGTGAATAAAGAATCCTGCAAGAATGCAGTTTCAAATCACAAAGTGGCAGAGCGTGGCAATGGGGCCTCCTTCAGTCAAACATGCAGGTATTTCCAAGGCTCATCCACACCCATTCATCCTCTGCCTCATGCCGTCCCACCTCTCTTCGGGCTGCGTGGCTGTGTGGCTGCGGGCATGCTCAAGGAGCTCCCTGCTGGGAGCCGTGGGCACCGCAAGGTGACCCGTTGTTCTTACCTGTTCTGACCATGGGAGAAGGTCAGTCCCAGCTCTGCTAACAAGCGACTTCTTCTCATACGTCAAGCTGGATGGTGACCTGGTCACCCTCAGAACAGACTTTCCATGGAAACTAAAAGCGTGTTTTGCTTGTTTGGTGAATGGTTTTGGTAAAATGTTTTCTTACTTTTTCCTAGACATCGCCTGGTGGTATTACCAGTATCAGAGAGGTAAAAAAAAGTGTAAACCAACTTGACTACTTTGGTCACATTACTTTCAGTGGGAGAGCTTCTTAATCAAGTATATATTTTGTAATTAGTCTTCTCACTGACCAACTTTCTGTGCCCCTTAACAACAAACCCCACCTAAACAGAAAGAGTTGGAAACATTCTTTTAGAGACAAGTTACAGGAAAAATTTTGCTCCCCTTAGGAAACTGATACGTTTTTCTCTCACAGACAATAAGATATATGTAAAATCTCAGAGCCAATTTGTGGCTCAAGTGTAGGAACTGCTTAGAACAAATGACCTGAATTTCTATGTCCTCTTTTTCCCCCGTGGTCTCGACCTCCTAATCTAATCAATATTTTCTGAGACAGTTTTTCCTATTACCTTATCTCTTTTTATGTTATTATATGTATTTCATATAATCAGCTTCAAGTCCTTTGTGAAACAAAGCAGAATGTGTTTAAATAAACAAATGGTGAGGAAGAGATGTGAGGTAGGAGAATGGTAGTGGGTGGAAGGGCAAGTAGGTATAGATCAGGAGGCCAAAACTCAGATGCCTGCAGGACCAAGCAGGGAACACAACTGAAGTAAGTGAGCCAGGGGTGAACAGAGGGCGCACTAGAGGCTTTCACTGCTCAGAGGGATCAGCCCCTGCTCAGCACTGATAAGCTGTTACCTTGTGAGAAGTTGAGACCAAAGTTGTCAGAGAATCCCATTTTCCAAGAGAAATCAGAAATCCAAACTTGTGCATGAATCTCTCAACTTTAAATGTTGGAAATTCCAAACAAAATTAAAACACATTTTATGGGCCAAACAAGACCTATCTTTGGACTGTGTTCATGCCAATGACCAACACATTTTATAACCTCAGAACTAAATGGGTGGGTTACACAATCCAATCCAGAGACCCCCATGATGGAGAAAATATTTTCCAGTACAGGAAGAAGGAGGTGGTCACAGCCATGGTCTTTGGTCGTGTAATGGTTATGGACCTAACAGAGGAGACCCTCAGCAGAGAGAAGACCAAAGACTTGGGCCGTCCTATTGCTCATAGTCTAAGGGCCTCGCTTGTGCATAGGCACAGAGCTTGTCAAGAGCAGAACTACTGCAAGGATGGTTACAATCAATTTGCAGTTTTGTGCTCGAGGGAAGCAGAAGCCATTGTAGGGGCACATGGAAGCCAGATCTATAAAACAGGCCCTGGACTGGCTGGATTTGAGGTCCAGTCCTGTCACCAGCTGGCTGTGTCCCCTAGGACTCAGGCAAAGCCAGTTAGTGACAGAGTGTCGGAGACATCTCCCGTGCTAGAAGTCCTCAACATGGGCTCCATGTGTTTGAAAGATACAGGAACTCATGGAAAGTACAGGCAAAGTGCCATGGTTAGGTGCATTTTCTTTTTCTAAGAGGGCCTATCACTTTCATCCACACTCAGAAGAGTCTGTGACCCCAAAACATTAAGGTCCACATAATCTGAATCATCTCCTCCAAACTTTCCTTCAGTCTGGGAATTACCTATGTAGCATCCTCTATAGCTGGTTATTCTATCTTGCTTTAACTTGCCCCCAGTGATAGATTGTTCGTCACTTTTTAAGGTACTTATAGTTAGAAAACTCTTGATCTGTTAGGACCCCCATCCTCCTAATATTCTGATGGAGAGGGTAATGTTCCCCCACTTCCCACTACACACAAAGTTTTAGTGGGACAACGGGCATGAAAACATTTTCCAGAGTAAAAGTAGTTTACAAACAAAAGGTATTCTGATTTACTCTTGTTAGGTAGTGATCACCATTGTCTTAGATCTCTGGGTTAATTTTTATCTTTATCATCCAAACTCAACCTGACTTAGTAACTGGCTCAACATTATTTTCAATAATAAAAGTAATGATAACAAGCAACACCTGGCCTCAGAAACTCTTAACAAACCTCAGAAGAAACTGTCAAGGAGGCTCTCATCTGTTAATTCTCTTTAGTCTTCCTCCAACCAGAGAGTTGGGCCACCCCCCTTCCCTTAGTGGGACCGCCTGGATAGCACTCAGAGGCTCCCTGGGGGGAAGCAAGGATTTTAAAACCTCCACAGCCCCTTTCAGAGTTTCTTCAGAATATATTTACGGTGGCCAGAACCATGAAGCATACAGAGAAAGGGAAGGGAGAGCTGACGTTGAGGGAAAGGAATGCTTAAATTATGCAGAAGCCATTGTAGAGACACCCATAAGGTTGCTACGAGTGTAGGCAAATTAAATTAGTGTTTCCCATTCCCAAATCATGACCATGCGAGTCACAATCAGCACATTTTTATAAAGGAGTGATTAAATTTGAGAACAGAGTATATCCCACATTACTGAGGGAAAGTACCATTTCATGAAATGCTACTCTATTTCATGAAACCCTTGCTTCAAAACATTTTATAAAATTTTCCCTTTATGTATACTGGATTGTGATGTAAACTGTAATTCTTACTGTGAAACACAGTAAAAAAAAAAAATTCAAGAACCACTGGTTGAAGCCCCTAACGCCCACCGTGCGGGCGATTTCCCAGCATCAGCATTTTGAATCCAAAATATGTACATTTCCTTCAGCAACTGATGTTACCGTAGCCTGACAATTAGAGGGTGATGAAGAAGCAAAACAAAACAAAAGCTTAGCAGGTCAATATTCAGATGTTACAGAATCTCTTCGATACAGAGACTGATCCTGCTGGTCAGACAGTAAACAAACCAGTTCTATCTTACTGAAGTGGTTTTAATATTTGATATAGCTATAACCAGTGTATTCTTAATGAAAGAGACAGTTACCAAGTGCAGTTTCTGAGTCAGAAAGATTCTCTCAAACTTCTGCAAAGAGATTTCCCTGAGCTTGTGAAGGATCTAATCACAGTCAATACTGAAAAAAAAAAAAAAAAAATCTTTTAAGCTTCTGGATAAGATTAACTCGGAAATGTATACTAGATGCCTTCAAAAATACACCTTTTCTGCCAAAAATACATTTGTGTCTTCCTTGTTTACATTTCAATAGAACTGTCACCTCTTTTCAGGGTTAAACATCTGTGCATTTTTAAAAATAAAATTGCTATTAAATCTAATGCTAGGAAATTTAAACCAACAACTTGAATTCTAATTTTAAATGAGTTGAAAATATATGTGAGTATTCTGAATTAGACTTACGTGGGGTTTTTTGTTTGTTTGAGAATGCTGCAGTTTTTAAGTAATTGCTACTTAACTTGTCAGCTAGAAACATAACAGTATTTAAAGGCTCTATTCAAATTATAAGGAAATTGGCCACTTCCAGCTGTTTTGCATAAACAGTCTTATTTATATTGAATAATCTGCTTTACTCTCTGTAGGATAAGATGATATATGTTTCCCAGTATGTAAGAAAGATGACAGTTGGGAATTGTTACCAGGTTCTTCTGTCTCTCCCTTGGAACCTAACCCAAATGTCCATTACCTCAGAGAGGAGATAAAAGATATAAACTCACTTTGATGGATTCCTTTTGCATTGAGATCAGAGTCTCAAAGGAAAAGTGACAATTGCGGAGAGAATCTGATGCAAAAAGACTGACAGTGGCTAGGGAAATGCACACAGTGTAATGCACCTGCTCATCCTGTTCTATCAGATAGAAACTCAGCCTGTCCTCACTCTCCATCATCATGGAGTGATGCCCATCTCATGACTACTCTTGCCAGCTCATATGTACAGTTGTTCAATACATGGATTTGGTGATACCCGCATGGCAACAATGGGCCAGGAAGGTTAGATGGCAATTGATTCTTGATTGGAGTAAATTTATAGAAAGCATTCTGGCAGGGCCCAGAGGAAAACACTCGCTTACCTTTCTGTGATGGTAAAACGTTGAAAGTTACACTTATTTAGATTTTGTGATCCTACAGTAGGAGATGGACAGAGCAATGGGGTACTTTAAATGCCACTTTCTAAATAATTGGTGCAAAATTATATTGCATTGTATAATAGTATGTGTAGGAGGGATAAACTACTACTTAAAACAACTGGTTTTTAGAGCCCTTCCAATACTTCAGAAGCTTTCATTTATATAAAGTAGCTCCTATTTAAGTCATTTTCCTATTATTTAAGGATGTCTGGTAGATATTACAATACCCGGAAGTGCATTCATATTTTTAAATTAATACTTAACATGCTGTAATTTGTACTTTTTGCCAAATCAAGATAGTCTTCCTCTAGTTTCCTAAATGGTGAGAGTTTACTCTATGGTTTTTTTTTATGAATTTGTCTCCCTTTGCTGTTTGGAGGATGTTAGTCAATCTGCTCACTTACCTGTGTCTCTAGAGTATTCAGATGGTTCAGTGGGCAGCAAACTGAATATGCAGAGCAGTTATTCTGAAAGAAAAGGAAATGTTTTCACGTGGACTTATCTTTAGCACTTCTGCCCTCATCTCCACTTGGAACACGTTTATCTCCAAGGCTGAAGCTCCCTCCCTAGGTGGTATCCGACACAGCTGGAGTAATGGGTGGACTGATGGTAAGACAGAAAGTGACTGAGCAGGGAGGTGGGGTTCAAAGCAGGAAGGTCATCTGCAGTGTGACCCCCAGCCCACGACCCTATATCTCAGGTCACCACACCACACTTTTGACAGCCCAGACTGTGGGCTGACAAGTGACCACCAAGGTTAGCTGCTTCAATGCCATCTCCTCTGGTTCCAGATAAGATTGAAGACGAGTTGGAGATGACCATGGTTTGCCATCGGCCTGAGGGACTGGAGCAGCTTGAGGCCCAGACCAACTTCACCAAGAGGGAGCTGCAAGTCCTTTATCGAGGCTTCAAAAATGTAAGACCCACACGGCCTCTGAAGGCCCAGGCAGGATTTCCCATTTGGGACTAAGCTCTCCCAAATGTCAACGGGACCCATCAGAGAGATTTTTGCACATGTGTAGTTGTAAAAGGAAGGCCAAATCTATAAAGGAAACAGGAGAGCAAGGTCACCTGGCTAGAGGAAGATGCCAGGCAAGAATGAGGCAGTCTCAGTAGATGGGAAACTGGCCAAGAGCCCAGAGACTTCACAGGATGGCACAGCCTTGGCCCAGACACTAACTAGCCTTAGCATAACCCATTCACACTGTCAGTATTGTTAGTGCCCCAGAAATGATGGGATTTAGGTCTGCTGCTAAGCAAGCTCACAGACTGAAGTACAAGCCTGATAGCCAATGTATTAATTTACCTCATTATTTCATATATTTAACCTCATGATAGCCTTGCTGGAAAGGTACTGGTAGCCCCAGTTTACAGGTAAGGACACTGAGAATCAGAGACTGACTCACTCCAAGTTACAAAGCTTAGAAGGGGCTGAGCCAGGATCCAAACCCAGGTCTTTCTAATCCCAAAGCCCAGACTCTTTCCACCTCACAGTGCCCGTTCTCTGATGACATCTCATCATTTTGCAAAGCAGCTTCAGTCCTGAGGTGGAACTATCTCCCAGCCACTCACCTTGGAGATACGGAGGTGCACAGGTGGTTGCCCAGTCCCTGCCCACCAGGGATCACAAGGAACCCCAAGGCTCTCAGACACTCCCGCTAACTCTCCCCCCTTCACACAGGAGTGCCCCAGTGGTATGGTCAATGAAGAAACATTCAAGCAGATCTACGCTCAGTTTTTCCCGCATGGAGGTGAGTCCGATCTTGAAACAGATCCCTCCTGGCTCCCTCTCTTCATCCTCTGGCAGCCTTCCTTCCTCCAAGCTCATACTTCCTTGTTATCTGCCTCCTCCTCAAGGTTGGGGAGAACTCAGAGCAGAGTTCCTCCCTTATTGCAGGGTGTGGAATTCACTAAAGCTTTAGCAGAAAAGAGCTCTGAAAATGGACCTTCTCCCAGAGAGGAGAATGATAAAGCAATATCACAAAATCTCCTAACAGCTCTGTAAAGCTGGTATTGTTATCTGCGATCCGGGCAACTACGTCTCAGAGAGGCTAAGCAGTTCACAGAAGATTGCACAGCTAGTGAGTGGCAGACCAGAATTAGATCCCAAAGTGTCTGTCTAAAGCTTTGCCACGATAGGCCTACCATTGTGCTATACTCCATCCTTTCCTTAAAACAGCTTTCCTTGAAGAAAGAACTTTAGTAAATACCAGAGACTATAAAAATAAAGGAATCCAAAAAGATGCAGGTTGAATAAAATTGTGCTTCATAAATCAGGTTAGCAAGTGTGCCAGGCTCACAGCTGCTATGTCACTCTGCCTGACTCCTGCAAGAACCCGCTCTGACCCCACGGGTCTGGGGCATCGGCGGCTCTTCCTGTGGCTTCAATGTGTCACATGCCAACTTACTTCCTGCCCCAGGAGCCATCTCCTGCAGGACCCCTTCCCCGGGTCCTGATGAAACAGAGATCCAAGTGTCCCAGACACTTCTTGGGCTCCGTTTCTCATGGACCTCTTCAGCAGCCTTTTTAGGTGTGGGACCCGGTACAGGACCCCTCCCCCAGCTGGGGGCAGCTTCACCCCATGCAGGCCCCAGAACCGATGTTTGTTGAGTCCTATGGAGCCACTCTTATATTGAGTTTTTACTATGTGGCAGGCTTGTTGATGGTTTTGATGCTCTGGCTATAAGAAAAGTTTAACATTGTGCAGAGATGGGAAGGTGAAGCTCGGAGAGGTTGTGTTAGACGCCTGGGGTTACACAGCTAGGTAGTAACAGAGCTGCTCTCCAAGACCAGGTCTGTCTGCTCCCTAACGGGTGCTCATTCCATGGCATTGTGCTGCCACTCAGAAGAGCATCTTCTCCGCACAAGTCCCGTGTCATTCATCCAACAAGAAATATACGCATCGACAGGCAGGAGCGTCTCTCTCTGGGGATGGCTAGACTTAGGAGCAAGGGCCTGTCTCAACTCTTGCCTGAACTTCCCACCTAAATCCCAGAAAAGCCAAACGGGTCCCAGGTCACAGCAGCAGTTTTTCCCACTCTGTAATCTCCCTTCTATCACCCTAGAATCATTCTCTTCTCTTTCTTACGGTTTTTAAGTGATCTCACTCCCCTCTGCAGGACCCCTCCTCCCATCACCTGCTTTTCCTTCTGTGCCTTGCAGATGCCAGCACGTATGCCCATTACCTCTTCCATGCCTTCGACACCACGCAGACTGGCTCCGTGAAGTTCGAGGTATGCTTGTCTCTGAGAGGCCCCGGGTCTCCATCACTCTTCCTCTAAACCATGGAGATGTTGGGAGAAGGAGTGGACCATCAAATGCTTCAGTCCTTTACCATTTAACAAGGATTTCCTGAAGATAGAAGAAGCAACTGCCCTTACCCTCCAGGAACTCAGGACCTCAGGGACTAACAATAACAGTCTAATCGGTCACACGCACACCGCGCTGACCATGCTGCAGTCTCTGTACTTAGTGCTCTGCATGTATTAACTCATTTAGTCCTCACAGTAACCCTAACAAGGTAGGGTTCTATTATTTATTATCAGTTTACAGAAGAGGAAAGTAAGGCAGAGAGAGATTGAGTTGCTTTCCCAAGGTCAGACAGTAAGTGGTAAAGGAGGGCTTTGAACTCAGGTGGTATGTTTCCAGAGTCCATGTTCTTAGTCACCAGATGATGCCACCACTTGTACAATAATTGTAGCCATGGGATAAGGCAACAGTAGGTGTCAGCACACACTGAGCTCCGTTCTTCCTCCAGAAGCTCCTTCCCAAAAATGGGGCAAGGTTGGCAATGGAAGGGGGGGTGGGGCTGTTCACTGAGCTTGGCCACATCCTTCTGGGGACAGAGGACCTGGGAGATACCATTCTGTAAAAGCAGTCACAGAGTCTGACCCAAAGACAGAGCTTCACCCCACCCGATGGCTTGGTGGTTAATGTCTCTCATGCCTCTTCCACTTCTCAGGACTTTGTAACTGCTCTGTCAATTTTACTGAGAGGAACCGTCCATGAGAAACTAAGGTGGACATTTAATTTGTATGACATCAATAAAGATGGATACATAAACAAAGAGGTAAGTGAGCTGAGGCCAGGAGCATGAGAGAGCTAGAGGGAAGGCACCTAATTAGAGAGAAAACAGCCTTAGTCATGAGGATGAAATGGTCCAAATGAGGAGGGATCTGCTTTGGGGCAGAGGTGGTTCCTGACAAAATGAAGGTCACCTTTGACCTCCCCCATTGCTCTACCCTGCCCTGTCCACAGGCACTCAAGAAAGGATTAAGCAGATTCATTCACTCTCACTTATTCAATGCACATTCTAAAGGGGGTATAAATAATTTATTTCAGTGTAGAGTAACTCCTCCCATGGGAATTCCCATTTTAACAGGTTAACAGCCACAACTTAAAGGTAAAAACTGGAATAGTAGCATTGCAGGTATCACCTAGAAGAGAAAAGGGAGATCTTTGAGGAAGAGGAGATTCCAGTTGAACCATATGAGCCACAACCTATTTTGCCTACTAATAAAACCTCAGAAAGGGGTCAGGTGCAGCCATCTCTAAATAAATCATCACAAATACATTTCTGAATCTTCACTGCTTGACACTTTTAGAGCCTCAAAGTATATGTGGTATCTAGATAGTGAAGTACCCACAGGTCTATCTCAAAACTCACTTTGGTATCTACTGTACCCTGGCATCTCAGTCAAAGCTTGGATTTAGCATCTTATAGCATCCCACTTCCTGAGCTCCTATGTGCCAGGCACATTGCCTGGAGTTACAAATGTCATCTCTAATCCTCACCTCAACCCTGCAGGTTTCTCTCCAATTTTCATTCCCCATTCATTCAGTCATGGATTTGCTCAACATATATTTGAGGGCTTATTAGATGTTCTAGGTCCTGAAGATAAAGTGGTGAACAGTCCCCAAAATGTGAAAATCCTAATATCCACTAATAGCAGATGTGGTAAGAATTCCAGTAAATACATATAATGGAATGACAGGTGGCCATTTAAAACCATGTAAGAGCAATAAGATATAAAAATTTGTATGTTACATTTTAAAAATCACTTTATACAGTAGTTTGTATAATATTATCTCAACTTTGTAAATAATTAAATGCTTCTATATATACTCAATATCTTATACTCCAAAATATTCAAATACTACTTTACAAAATATATAAGGAAAGGACCCTAAAATGAGACTTATAACAAGATCTTCAACCTTGATTCAACCATTATTCCATCACTGAATAATCTTACTAACTCCTGCTCCCTTTTCTTAATTTGCAAACTAGACAAAACTGTCCCCATTAATACTCATCAGACCTTTCTGGATGGCAGGATTAATAAAGTACTCCTTAAAAGGAAAAGAAAGTGTGAATAAGCAGCTTCTTAGAAAAGATAGCTGGATCTTCCCCAGGCAGTCATTTGGAAATAGTTTCATCAAAACTGTAGGCAATGAAAATCCTGAGAGAGCAAATCAAAATTTATCTTTAAGTCTTTTATGTTATAAAAGTTACTCAGGAAATAAACCTATAGCCATATGGGTGTTAAGGACTTGTAAAGCATACATCTTTAATTAAACACATGGACAGAGTTATATATTTCCTAGTTCTGTCCATTGTTAGGACCTAACAGCAGTGACACTCCCGGAGCAATGAGTAGACCTAGCACCCAGACCTCGGTTTCTAAATATCATTCTCCAATAAAAGGAACCAGCCTCCTTGGACTTGGTTGATTCCAGGCCTGGGAAAGAGAAAATACAAGAAGATGATCCTGGAGCATCTTGCAGTGCTGAAAAAAATGGGAGTGCTATTTAAAAAAAAAGAAAAGATGGGTTGGGGGGGGGTATGTCAAAAGACCACAGAAGTCAGCCTGAAGGAGTTCCCAACAGCCAAAGCCAGAATAATTTGAGCAACAAAATACAAATTGATAGTTTTGGGTTATAACCTATAAAATAAACTAAATGTCCATGAGTCCTAACTAATATATATGTACAAATAATATATTACGTATTTAAATAAATAAATAATAAATATGTATTTAAATCAATGAATACATAAACGGCAGAGGGGAAGGACAACTCTTCCTTAAAGAAGAACTCCAATTCATAAACATAGAAGGAATAAAGGAAATACAGAATCCCCATTAAGCAAATATTACCGTAATAATTTTTGCAGGCAAGATCCACTAACAGATTCTAAGATCAGTGGAGAAGCTTGACAGGCACCACCTTAATCAAGTGATCAAGGTTAACATCGCCAGTAATAAGACATAGCAACACCACGTACCTCTTTGATATGTTGCACCAAGAAGGATATAACATCACTTCTACGGTATTCTTGTCAAAAATGCATAAGTTCAGTCTAACCATAAGACAACCAGGGACTAACCCAAACTGAGAGACATTCTACAAAATAACTGACCAGTTATATCAAAAAAGTCATGGTCTCCAAAGACAAAGACAGAATGAGGCACCGTCACAGATCAGAGGAGACTAAGGAGACACAACAACTGAATGCGGCGTGGGATTCTTAAACATGAAAAGGCATTGGGGAAAAAACTGATGGAGCTTGAATAAGCTCTATAGTTTAATAGTTTTGTGGCATTGTTTATAGTGTTGTAGCTACTAGTATTGCAGCATTATTACTTTCCTAGCTTTCATCATTGTGCTGTGGTTGTGCAAGTTGTTAGCAGTAGGGGAAGCTGGGTCAAAGGTATACATGAATGCTCTGTACTATTTTTGCAAGTTTTGTGTAAGTCTAAAATGATTAATAAATAGGTTAAAAAACAAAACAAAAACAATTAAATAAAATAAGCACATGGAATGAGGAGTAGCAGCAAGGAACCCAAGATAGAAGCTGACCCCCGGGTCTCTGTAGACACTCCATCAAATAACCTGAAGACAAGGCTGCCTTCCTACATTCTTTTCCCCCGTTCCAAGTAGGGGATGGGGAAGCCCATGGAGCACTACTTCTGGTCAGTGTGATCAGGAAAACACCACAGAGCCACTCAACAGTGACTGGGCTCCCAGCCCATAGCAGGCACGGTGCCAGGTGCAGAGAACTTAGCAATGAAGGATCAAGCATGTGTCCTCAGAACTCACATTCTTGGGGAAACAGATCTATAGAGCAATAAAAAGAACAAGTTAATTATTTTAATTTGTATGTGCTGATCACTTATTCCATATCAATGAAAGATTAGAAAGGAAATATGAAAGAATGTGTAACATCTATCTGGCCCCATCAATCAAGAATGGTAATTTTTGCCTTTGTAGAAAGGGATCTTTTGGTTACAAAGCTAGAAAATCATCAACATAAAGGAGCTTAAGCTGAGAGATTTCTTGTAAAGATATAGGTAGTTTCTCTAAAACGTCTTTTAAAAAATAAGTAATTTTTTTAAAATGAAAAAGAAGATATGGGTTGTTTGGTGTAACACATTTAATCCCCATCCAAACTAGACAGTTGTTAGTCTCCCCCCATGTCACAGCAGTCTCCTCTTATTCCTCTCTTTCCTCTCCCTCGTCCGGCATTGTATTAGATCAAGCTTAGATCACACTCTCTGCAGGAATGATAGGTTCGGTTGGCAGCAACATGGTTGCGGGGGGTGGGGTGGGGGGAATCGGGGGCAGGGAAGACCTCAGAGGAGGTTTTAGTGGATAGGGTAACCATTCTCAGACGCTGCCTCTCCGGGGCTTCTCTTGGTCCTTGTTACTACCTCTGTCTTCTTCAACTGCTTTTCTCAGAGAGAGAGAGAGAATGTGTGTGTGTGTGTGTGCGTGCACGTGTGCTCATGAGAATATTTCTCTGTCCTCCCCCGTGTCCCACCTCCCTTCTCCCTCTACTCCTCTACTATCCTCACTTCTCTTCTTTCTCTCCCTTTCTCCCAGAATTCCTCTCATCTCCTCTACTCCACCTGCTCCAGTCTACTCTTTATGGAAGTTCTTCCCTGTAATAGAATAATGTTCGGTGTCTGCTCTCCCCTGATCTCAGCTAAAACCTGGAAGTGGTTTGCCCATGGCACCAGCTCCACCTCTTCACTCAGACTTCTCAAGAGATAAAAATAGAGTGGCTCAGCTCTGTAGTTGGATGTCCACATTTGTTCCAATCAGCTGTGGTCACAGTGACAGGTCACCTGGTACAAACACAGCCACCCAGGCCGACCATTCAAAGGAATTATGGAGTGGAGAGAGGGTCTTCCACAAATGGGGTGTGGGCTGATGAGTACACGAATATGTCCGCTCAGATCCCACTTATAACCCTTCACTGAGGAATGCTCAGGAAGAGGCAAGCTACCCAAGAGCTTCTGACGACAAAGAGAATTTTCCACTGCCCTCTCTCTGGAAGGAGGCTCCCAGAATACAGCCCCTTCAGCTTGCTTTCTAACTCCCTCTCATCAGCTGAAGAAGTCCCTTTTAAACACTTTCATTCTCAGAAGAGACAAAGAGCCCCAGACTGTCGCCCAGAAGAGCTTAACTTCCTGGTTCCCACCCTGTGTGCTTCTATGTCCCCTCTCCAGGAGATGATGGACATTGTCAAAGCCATCTATGACATGATGGGGAAATACACGTATCCTGTGCTTAAAGAAGACACTCCAAGGCAGCACGTGGATGTCTTCTTCCAGGTAAGAGCACACACCCATGCGTGAGCTTTAAGCTCAACTTAGATCAGTCAGCCCACGAGCCTCTGAGCAGTGGTTTGTGTCCAAGCCTGCACTACAGATGGTAGGAAACAGAAAAGAATTACAAGATGTCTTGCCCTCCAGGAATAGATTATCTCATTAAATGGACAAGTATGCACTACAGAAGAGAATAAGGAAGAATATTAAGTATAAGTGGTAGAGTATGGACTCTAAACTCCATTAAAATGGTTGGGAGATCAGAGTAAACAGAGAAGACATCATTAAGCACATCTGTGTAGGTGTTAAGCATTTGTGTCTGGGGAGTAAGGGGAAATCAGGTGGAAACTAGGGTGGCTTGGAAACTAGGGTGAGCTCTTTAGACCGAAGAGTTTAGCCTTGCTCTGGTAAAAAGTAGGTGCTGTTAGTCCGTGAATAGAAGAGTGGCAAAATCTTAATGGTGTGCTAATAAAAAAAATTAACCTAGCAGGAGAGTATCAGGGAACATCAGAGCTCATTCTAGTCTAATCCTCTCACTTTGCAGATGGGAAAAGCAGAGGCTCAGAGAGGCTTAAAGATTCACTCAAGGTCACACAGTAAGTGACAGAGACAGAAGTAGAACCTCTCATGTCCAGTGTTCTTTCTGCCAAATGGACAGGCTAGAAGTGAGACTGGGAAAGGCATGTTAGGGTGTCAGCAGAATAATCTGGTGATGAGAAGATGACATCTACAGCAAGTTTCTTAATTTGAAGGAAGCTCATGGGGGTCAAAGTGCTGTAACCAGGGCCTGGGTGGAGTTGTCTGTCCAGTGAAAGACCATCCTAGTTCTCGGGGGAATGTTGGTTAACAGAAAGCAAGTTTTGGAATGCATATCACCAGATTCTTTAAAGTGCTTCTTGTTGGGTCTTTCAGAAAATGGACAAAAATAAAGATGGCATCGTGACTTTAGACGAATTTCTTGAATCCTGTCAGGAGGTAAGGAGAGATCTCGGGGCAGAAAACTTCTATATCTGGGAAAGGAAATCTGGGGCTTGGGGACAGGCAGAAGGGAGAAAGTGAGAAACCTGCAGTTTCTCAGATTAGAGCCACCAGCATCACCATCACCAGCAACAACTCAGAATTTCAACAATCTCCACTCCTCAGACCGGTCTGTGGCTAGTCTTGGCTAAGCACAGGCTGAGCCACACAGACTAAGAAGGGGATGTGAAAGTCCAGAGGGGGGTCTCTGTGAAACTACAGACTTCCAAGTGGGCAACACTGTCATTTTTCAGTCTCCCTCTGGCTTGATGACCCACTCCCCAGACTACAAGGGAGTAGCTGGAAAAATAATCTAAAGCTGTGATTCTTAAACCATAGTGTGCATAAGAATTGCCTGGGATGATTCTAAAAATGCACATTTCCAGGCCTCAACCCAGAGACTCTAGATCTGGGATGGGGATCTAGAAATCTTCATGTTAACAAAAGTGCCCTGACCAATGCTTCTAAAACTTGAATGTGCAAACCAGCCTCCTTGAAGTTCTTGTTAAAATGCAGATTCCCATTCAGAAGGTCAAGGGTGATGTTGATGTTGCTAAAAGGATAAACTGGCCCCAGAGTCAGCCAGAGACTGAACTGGAAATAAGTGCTTTCCTCTAATTTAGAAAAATGCATTTATACTCCTACCTTTTCTCAGAAAGGTGCACAGTTACTCTGGGTTCCAGCCAATAAGAACTGCAAATGCAAGAAAGCTGGGGAGACGTTATTAACATGTAGTGAGCACCTACCAAGTTTTAGGTACATTAAGTAAACCTCACGTAATGTAAAAAACCCTGAGCAGTAGGGTCACTATATAGTCAAAATATTTAATAAATAGAGTAGACCGAGAATTGATCATTCTTTTTTTTTTCGTCTTTTTTTTTTTTTTGCGGTACGCAGGCCTCTCACCGTTGTGGCCCCTCCCGTTGTGGAGCACAGGCTCCGGACGCGCGGGCTCAGCGGCCATGGCTCACGGGCCCAGCCGCTC